CTGACTTAACTGACTTACTGACTTGACTGACTTATTGAATATTGTAATGGGGAAGTGCTAAACCCATAAGATTATACAGTGCCTGTGGGGGGGAGGGGATGGAAGGTATTCAAGCTTAATTTAGGGAACTGGAGCACAGATACAATTCCATAGATCAAGAGCCCCTCACCAGCGTGAAGGAACCTTTCTTGAGGGGGAAGCTCGCATCCTGAATTTTTGCTCGTATCCAGAAACAAAAAATCGACCAAGTGACTGCTCATATCCTGAAAAACTCGTATGGTTGTGGCACTTGCAAGCCGAAGTTCCACTGTATTCTTAACTGTTCCCACTTAATGGTCTGTTGAGATAATGTTGTATGTTCAAATACAGTGGACCCCCGCATAGCGACCTTAATCCGTGCAAGAGGGCTGGCTGTTATGCGAAATGTTCGGTATGTGAATGAATTTTCCCCATAAGAAATAATGGAAATAAAATTAATCCGTGCAAGACACCCAAAAGTATGAAAAAAAAATTTTTTTACCACAAAAAAATGTTAATTTTAGTACACACAAACTGAAAAAGGCATGCACAATTACATGACACTTACTTTTATTGAAGATCTGGTGATGATTGATGGGATGGGAGGAGGGGAGAGAGAGTGTTAGTGTTTAGAAGGGGAATCCCCTTCCATTAAGACTTGAGGTGGCAAGTCCTTTTCTGGGGTTACTTCCCTTCTTCTTTTAATGCCACTAGGACCAGCTTCAGAGTCACTGGACTTCTTTCGCACAACATATCTGTCCATAGTGGCCTGTACCTCTCGTTCCTTTATGATTTGTCTAAAGTGGTTCACAACATTGTCATTGTAACATCACCAGCACGGCTTGCAATAGCTGTGTGAGGGTGATTTTCATCAAAAAGGTTTGCACTTCAAGCCATTTTGCACACATTTCCTTAATCTTTGAAGTAGGCAATTCCTTCAATTTCTCTCTCCCCTCCTTTGAACCAGTTTCCCCAGGTCTGGCCTCTTGCTCTTGAAGTTGATCTATCAGCTCATCAGTGGTTAGTTCTTCATTGTCCTCCTCCACCAACTCTTCCACATCATCCCCACTAACCTCCAACCCCAAGGACTTCCCCAATGCCACAATTGATTCCTCAACTGGTATACTCCTCTCAGGGTTAGCCTCAAACCCTTCAAAATCCCTTTTGTCTACACATTCTGGCCACAGTTTCTTCCAAGCAGAGTTCAAGGTTCTCTTAGTCACTCCCTCCCAAGCCTTACCTATAAGGTTTACACAATTGAGGATATTAAAGTGATCCTTCCAAAACTCTTTTAGAGTCAATCGAGTGTCTGTGGTCACTTCAAAGCACTTTTGAAACATAGCTTTTGTGTACAGTTTCTTGAAGTTGGAAATGACCTGCTGGTCCATGGGCTTCAGGAGAGGAGTGGTATTAGGAGGCAAAAACTTCACCTTAATGAAGCTCATGTCCCCATAAAGTCGCTCTGCCACGTCTGTAGGATGACCAGGGGCATTGTCTAACACCAGGAGGCACTTAAGTTCTAATTTCTTTTCAGTTAGGTAATCTTTCACATTGGGGGCAAATGCATGGTGTAACCAGTTATAGAAAAAGTCCTAGTGACCCATGCCTTACTGTTTGATCTCCACAGCACACACAAATTATCCTTGAGGACATTCTTTTGCCTGAACGCTCTGGGAGTTTCAGAGTGATACACTAATAAAGGCTTAACTTTGCAATCACCACTAGCATTGGCACACATCAACAAAGTAAGCCTGTCTTTCATAGGCTTATGTCCTGGGAGTGCCTTTTCCTCCTGAGTAATGTAGGTCCTGCTTGGCATTTTCTTCCAGAACAGGCCTGTTTCATCACAATTAAACACTTGTTCAGGTTTCAGTCCTTCAGTTTCTATGTACTCCTTGAATTCCTGCACATATTTTTCAGCCGCTTTGTGGTCCGAACTGGCAGCCTCACCATGCCGTATCACACTATGTATGCCACTACGCTTCTTAAATCTCTCAAACCAACCTTTGCTGGCCTTAAATTCACTCACATCATCACTAGTTGCAGGCCTTTTTTTAATTAAATCCTCATGCAACTTCCTAGCCTTTTCACATATGATCGCTTGAGAGACGCTATCTCCTGCTAGCTGTTTTTCATTTATCCACACCAATAAGAGTCTCTCAACATCTTCCATCACTTGCGATCTTTGTTTCGAAAACACAGTTAAACCTTTGGCAAGAACAGCTTCCTTGATTGCCTTTCTGTTGCCCACAATAGTAGAGATGGTTGATTTGGGTTTCTTGTACAACCTGACCAGGTCGGTGATACGCACTCCACTTTCATACTTATCAATGATCTCTTTCTTCATTTCTATAGGAATTCTAACCCTTATTGCTGTAGGGTTGGAACTAGAAGCTTTCTTGGGGCCCATGGTCACTTATTTTCCAGAAACAGCACCGAAAACACTGTAATAATACGAAATATTCCGATTGTATGCTTGAATGTTACCGCGGAGGCTGGCTGGTAAACAATGCCACCGGCGGAACATATGAGGCTGGCTCAGGCCGCACATTGGACGCGTCTCGGACGAAGGGCGCTGAGCGGGTTTTTGGGCGGTATGCGGGGCAAAATTTTAGCGATCAAAGCGTCCGGTATGCGGATTGTCCGTTATGCAAGGCGTCCGTTATGCGGGGGTCCACTGTACAGTGGACCCCCGGTTAACGATAATTTTTCACTCCAGAAGTATGTTCAGGTGCCAGTACTGACCGAATTTGTTCCCATAAGGAATATTGTGAAGTAGATTAGTCCATTTCAGACCCCCAAACATACACGTACAAACGCACTTACATAAATACACTTACATAATTGGTCGCATTCGGAGGTGATCGTTATGCGGGGGTCCACTGTATTGTCATATACACCATTCAGCCATGTTCTGTGTTCAAATATTGTCCTATACACCATTCAGCCATGTTCTGTGTTCAAATATTGTCATATACACCATTCAGCCATGTTCTGTGTTCAAATATTGTCATATACACCATTCAGCCATGTTCTGTGTTCAAATATTGTCATGCGCACTATTCTCTAGTCTAACAAGAACAATTTTTTTCCATAATACATTATTGCATTACTTGCACTGATTGTATTTTCCATACACATATACACTATCAAACATGTCCAGCAACTTTGAGTTTTTAGTATATAATAATTTGAATAACCTGTACATTTTCTCCAGAAATATTCCTTCATTTTCCCTCATTGTTGTGCAGTGTGTGTGTGTGTGTGTGTGTGTGTGTGTGTGTGTGTGTGTGTGTGTGTGTGTGTGTGTGTGTGTGTGTGTGTGTGTGTGTGTGAGGTTTTTATAACTGTAGTTTGGAATGAAGTATGACATTCATCAAGCTAAATATCACGTAAACAATAACAGTGGATCACTGATTATCCTGCCCATCAGGGAGAGGGTGTATCAGATACTGTCCCATCAGGGAGAGGGTGTATCAGATACTGTCCCATCATTGAGAGGGTGTATCAGATACTGTCCCATCAGGGAGAGGGTGTATCAGATACTGTCCCATCATGGAGAGGGTGTATCAGATACTGTCCCATCAGGGAGAGGGTGTATCAGATACTGTCCCATCATTGAGAGGGTGTATCAGATACTGTCCCATCAGGGAGAGGGTGTATCAGATACTGTCCCATCAGGGAGAGGGTGTATCAGATACTGTCCCATCATTGAGAGGGTGTATCAGATACTGTCCCATCAGGGAGAGGGTGTATCAGATACTGTCCCATCATGGAGAGGGTGTATCAGATACTGTCCCATCATTGAGAGGGTGTATCAGATACTGTCCCATCAGGGAGAGGGTGTATCAGATACTGTCCCATCATGGAGAGGGTGTATCAGATACTGTCCCATCATGGAGAGGGTGTATCAGATACTGTCCCATCAGGGAGAGGGTGTATCAGATACTGTCCCATCAGGGAGAGGGTGTATCAGATACTGTCCCATCATGGAGAGAGTGTATCAGATACTGTCCCATCAGGGAGAGGGTGTATCAGATACTGTCCCATCCTGGAGAGGGTGTATCAGATACTGTCCCATCAGGGAGAGGGTGTATCAGATACTGTCCCATCAGGGAGAGGGTGTATCAGATACTGTCCCATCATGGAGAGGGTGTATCAGATACTGTCCCATCATGGAGAGAGTGTATCAGATACTGTCCCATCATGGAGAGGGTGTATCAGATACTGTCCCATCATGGAGAGGGTGTATCAGATACTGTCCCATCAGGGAGAGGGTGTATCAGATACTGTCCCATCAGGGAGAGGGTATATCAGATACTGTCCCATCCTGGAGAGGGTGTATCAGATACTGTCCCATCAGGGAAAGGGTGTATCATATACTGTCCCATCAGGGAGAGGGTGTATCAGATACTGTCCCATCAGGGAAAGGGTGTATCATATACTGTCCCATCATGGAGAGGGTGTATCAGATACTGTCCCATCAGGGAGAGGTTGTATCAGATACTGTTCCATCAGGGAGAGGGTGTATCAGATACTGTTCCATCAGGGAGAGGGTGTATCATATATTGTCCCATCAGGGAGAGGGTGAATCAGATACTGTCCCATCAGGGAGAGGGCATATCAGATACTGTCCCATTAGGGAGAGAGTGTATCAGATACTGTTCCATCAGGGAGAGGGTGTATCATATATTGTCCCATCAGGGAGAGGGTGAATCAGATACTGTCCCATCAGGGAGAAAGTGTATCAGATACTGTCCCATTAGGGAGAGGGTGTATCAGATACTATCCCATTAGGGAGAGGGTGGAGCAGATACTGCTCCATTAGGGAGAGGGTGGAGCAGATTCTCTCCCATCAGGGAGAGGGTGGAGCAGATACTGTCCCATCGGGGAGATGGTATATCTGATACCGTCCCATTGAGGAGAGGGTATATCTGATACTGTCCCATCAGGGAGAGGGTGCATCAGATATTGTTCTATCAGGGTAATGGTGCACCAGATTGTGAACAAACCTTAGTAATCATTTTTGTATGGTTCTTTTGTCTTACAAACAACATTTCAGTATTGTGTATATACATGGTGACTGTCACTTTACAGCCAGATGATGGAAGCTGAAGAACTTGTCACTCGATAGGTAGTGATCTACTGTACTTCTGTTCATATAAATGCATGAGTGTGAAGGGTTGAATTTGAGTTTGAAGCTGCACATGAGTTAATGGGATTATAAAAGCTTCTTTAGGCAGCACTGAAAATGGGTTGGGCAAATATGTTTGTGGGTTTGGGTTTGAGAAGGACCTGCCTAGTATGGGCCAATAGGCCTGCTGCAGTGTTTCTCCTTTTTTATGTTATGTTCTGTAGGATATAACAGAGTTGATGACAACTTGATGTATTCTGACATTTTGTCTTCATTTTCCAATTAAATTTTAACTTTTGTGACATGCACTTTTAAGTATGGTGATCCTTTGTTTTTTGCTTTTTTTTTAGATGGGGCGGAGAAACGTAGTTTGGGTGCAACAGCAGCTGCATAACCACAGGTATATAGCACCTTTAAGCCAGTGGTAGATTAACCACTGAGGCAGCCATCACATGACAAAACACTGCATTAGAAGACATTGTCTTGTTTCCTGACAAATAAAAAATGTAAATTTATTTAGCACATTTCTAATGTGCATTGCTATATGTCAGTATACATGATAAAAGTTAAGGCAGTTGTGATATGTCAGTGTACGTGATACAAACTAAGACCATTGAGGAGATAAAATCAGGATATAGGATGTACCTACACTGCAGTAGAGATAGAACAATTCAGTTTTTAGTGAGTTGAAGATTCTAATGAATTTACTTAGGTAACATGTTTGAGAATTAGCAAAATGAAAGTCTTAATAATGTAGAGTTTGGATGCATTGCAGCACAGTACTGCTTACAAGTGCATCCTTGTGTTATTGTTCTCTCTCGGGAAGATAAGCCAGTAGTATCACCCCTTGTGCTGATATACATGTCCTTATGTTCTTGTTCTCTCAAAAATGTTCTGCATAACACAGGCATTTCAATAACATCACACCCTGTTCATTTAGTACTGTATCACTTTTCAAAAGGTCATGTAGAAAAGTTATATTAATTCCCTTGTTAATGTGTTCTAATATATATCGTGTATATCTATACTTGAAACTCTTGGAAGCAATGATAGTGTATTTCAGTGCATAGAAATTTCATAAGGAGGATATCTGAATATTTATAGGTTTAAGTACCAATATTGATGTTCACATGGAAAATAGATACCAGTTGTAAGTTTCTGAAAAAATATTCACAAGAATCATTTCTGGTAAAGTGTGTGCAAGTTTGTATTGGACATCACTGTATTCACTATGTCTGAAATACCTGAAGAGGAATCTGCTCCAGCAGCAGCAGCAGCAGAAGTTAGAGTTCATTCAGGGAATTCACATGACATACTCGAAGGATATTTTCCAGCAGCAGAAGTTCATTTAGAGGAAAAGCCAAATGAAATACTTGAATCTTTTCTAGCAGCAGAAGTTAGAATTCATTCAGAGAAACTACATGAAATATTTGAAGCATCTGTACCAGCAGTAGAAGTTACAGTTCATTCAGAAGAGAAGTCTGAAATATTTGAAGGAGCAGCTGCTTCAGCAACAGAAAGTATTGCCACTCAAGCAGAAGAGAAAACATACCAATGTTTAGAGTGTGTACAAGATTTTCCAACTATATCTCAGCTCTTGGCACACAGGACAATTCATTCAGAGGGGAAACCACACCATTGTTTAGTGTGTCTTAAAGATTTTTCAGCTAAATCTGATTTAGTAAAGCATACAAGAATTCATACAGGAGAAAAACCATACCAGTGTTCTGTGTGTCTTAAAGACTTTTTGCAAAACACCCATTTGATAAGACACATGAGAGTTCACACTGGAGAGAGACCATTTAAGTGTGCAGAGTGTCCAAAAGACTTTTCAGATAAAGCTAGTTTAACTAATCACATGAGAGTTCATACAGGAGAAAACCCATTTCATTGTTCATTGTGTGTAAAAAACTTTTCTACAAAATCTAATTTAATAAAGCATATTAAAAATCACATAGGTGTGAAACCATATCAATGCACAGTTTGTTCCAAAGAATTTTTACATAAATTTGGTTTAGTCAAACACTTGAGAATTCATACCGGAGAGAAGCCATACCAGTGTCCCAAGTGTCAGAAGGACTTCTCTGATAAATCTGACCTAACAAAACATTCAAGAATTCATACACAGGTAGAACCATATCAGTGTTCTGAGTGTATGAAAGTTTGCTCCAATAAATATGATTTAGTAAACCACATGAGGAGTCACACAGGAGAGAAAGCTCATCAATGTTCAAAATGTTTTAAAGTCTATTCAAGAAAATCTAATTTAGTAAGACACATCATGGTAAAGCATTCAGGAGGAAAGGATGTCAGAATGCAGAGTATCAAAGGTTTTTCTGATACAGTAAATGTGGCGTAATAAAATACAAAAGAAATCACACAGGAGAGAAACTATATTAGTGTTCAAAGTGTCTACAACATTTGTCAACAAACTTGCTGTCATGTAGGAGAAATCATTTTGAGAGGAAAACATATCTGCATTCAGTGTGCCTAAGCGACTTTCAAAACTTGCTAAGTAAACTCACTCATGTGAGAAAATCATGCAAAAGTGTATCATAATTAGACTGTGTGATCCATTCAAGTTTAATGCTTTGTTTTAGTATAATAATAATAATGATAAGATAAGACTACACTACAAAATCTGATCTATTTAAGGTTCACGGCAGTTCAGTGTTACTAGTTTTTAAAGGGTTTTAACGCATCTGAATTTGCAGCGCTTGTGAAAATTTATGCTAGAAGGAATCAGTTTAGTTGATCATGTGTAAAGAGACTGGGGTAGGTGTGTTGACATGTCCTGAAGGTAAATCATATATAAGGAGGCTGGGAAGGTGTGTTCAGTGTACTGAAGATTATTATACTTGTAACAGTGATAGTATTAATTGAATATATACGGTAGATCATGGATTTTTCCAGCACTAATTGGGAACTGCACTGTATTTTCCAGCATACTGATTGGGAAGGGTATACCATATTTCAACCACACTGTATGTTCACTTAATTTTTTATGATCCCTTTTTGCTGCACATTCCTTGATAACATTATCATGTCTGTTTAGTTGCTGGATTGAATAAGACAGCCAAATAAGATTAAACACTAAATAGCTGATTTCTGGATAACTGATAATCAACTGTATATAGTACAAAATTTATAGAAACAACCATGAAGAGATTCAATAATTCTTGAGGTGTTTTTTTCTTTTAACACACTAGCCATCTCCCACCGAGGCAGGATGACCCCAAAAAAACTTTCACCATCATTCACACTATCACTGTCTTGCCAGAGGCGTGCAGATACCACAGTTCGGATGTCCCTCCAAACAGCAAATATCCCCACCCATCTTTGAGAGTGCAGGTACTGTACTTCCCACTTCCAGGACTCAAGTCCAATATGTGTATAAAAAAAAAAAAAGCAATATTCAATGAAAAGTGCAGAGAAATGGCTCTTACTAAATCATTTTTCTCAGTGACTGAAGCATCCTAGCCCTGTGTGTGCTGACTGGGCTTAGAGGCCTCCATAGACATATTTCATGAATCACTAAACCTGCAGTGTTGGTCATTTAGCACAAGCAGTGGTGGAGGCTCAGTCCTCCATCTGCTTATCATGTCATTGTTTTGATCAGTCATCTTGGTGATCAGAACAATAGAAGCCTCCAAAGATATCTTGAGCAGCAGTGGTTGGAACTTCCTGTGCCACTGGAACTACAGTAATGGAGGCTGACTTAACAGCTGCCCTTTGTATTTGCCATCCTTGGTGACTCTTCAAGATGTGAGGGATGGGTTCAGACTTTATTGACCAAGGTCAAACAAGTCCTTTGAGAAAATAGAATGCTCAGAGTTGCCCACCTGAATCACTGTACTGGTTGTCTAATGTTTTGAGCACCTCATTATTTTCAAGTAAAGAATTTTGGGATATCTGGTCCAGCACATGTCCACCTGAATAAATCTGCTAAATTATTACTTTTTTTTTTTAAGACCTTATTGATAAGGATCAAGCAAGGTTTTTGAGAGAATGCAAATACAGTGGACCCCCGGTTAACGATATTTTTTCATTCCAGAAGTATGTTCAGGTGCAGTACTGACCGAATTTGTTCCCATAAGGACTATTGTGAAGTAGATTAGTCCATTGCAGACCCCAAACATACACGTACAAACGCACTTACATAAATACACTTACATAATTGGTCGCATTGGGAGGCGATCGTTAAGCGGGGGTCCACTGTAGTCCCATGCCTATGTCTTTTTCCATTAGTTCTGAGGCTTCAGTATTGAATGGACAGTAGATCAGAGGACATTGTGCCTTTGATCTATTTTTTGTGCTCATACAGAGACCAGCATCTTGGGGCATGTCATGTGTTGATTTGCAGTAAATTACTCTATATAGTTATTTTGAAAAATGTTCAAAATTTAATAGCATATATGTATTATGAAGGCCTATTCTCATGCTATTCAGTTTCTGATGTACTTTTCCAATAGCATTTACAAATAATAGCAGTGTGTAGAAGAGCTTTATAAGAGTGTTAACTGTACCACCAACTGGAGGATAGAGCTTTCCTTCCCAGGCTCACATTAATACTAGTAAGCCACTGGAGGATAGAGCTTTCCTTCCCAGGCTCACATTAATACTAGTAAACCACTGGAGGATAGAGCTTTCCTTCCCAGGCTCACATTAATACCAGTAAACCACTGGAGGATAGAGCTTTCCTTCCCAGGCTCACATTAATACCAGTAAACCACTGGAGGATAGAGCTTTCCTTCCCAGGCTCACATTAATACCAGTAAACCACTGGAGGATAGAGCTTTCCTTCCCAGGCTCACATTAATACCAGTAAACCACTGGAGGATAGAGCTTTCCTTCCCAGGCTCACATTAATACTAGTAAACCACTGGAGGGGTAGAGCTTTCCTTCCCAGGCTCACATTAATACCAGTAAACCACTGGAGGATAGAGCTTTCCTTCCCAGGCTCACATTAATACCAGTAAACCACTGGAGGATAGAGCTTTCCTTCCCAGGCTCACATTAATACCAGTAAACCACTGGAGGATAGAGCTTTCCTTCCCCGGCTCACATTAATACCCGTAAACCACTGGAGGATAGAGCTTTCCTTCCAGGCTCACATTAATACCAGTAAACCACTGGAGGATAGAGCTTTCCTTCCCAGGCTCACATTAATACCAGTAAACCACTGGAGGATAGAGCTTTCCTTCCCAGGCTCACTTAATACCAGTAAACCACTGGAGGATAGAGCTTTCCTTCCCAGGCTCACAATTTAATACAGTAAACACTGGAGGATAGAGCTTTCCTTCTCAGGCTCACATTAATACCAGTAAACCACTGGAGGATAGAGCTTTCCTTCCCAGGCTCACATTAATACCAGTAAACCACTGAAGGATAGAGCTTTCCTTTCCAGGCTCACATTAATACCAATAAACCACTGGAGGATAGAGCTTTTCCCTTTCCCCGGCTCACATTAATACCAGTAAACCACTGAAGGATAGAGCTTTCCTTTCCAGGCTCACATTAATACCAATAAACCACTGGAGGATAGAGCTTTCCTTCCCAGGCTCACATTAATACCAATAAACCACTGGAGGATAGAGCTTTCCTTCCCAGGCTCACATTAATACCAATAAACCACTGGAGGATAGAGCTTTCCTTTCCAGGCTCACATTAATACCAGTAAACCACTGGAGGGACACAGTTGTATCGATCACTGGAACGCTGCTTCTCTTATGACAATCACCCTGCCATCACCCTACCATCACTGGTGTCACCATGCCATCACCCTACCATCACTCTACCATCACCCTACCATCACTCTACCATCACCCTATCATCACTACCATCACCCTACCATCACCCTACCATCACTACCATCACTCTACCATCACCCTGCCATCACTACTATCACCCTACCATCACTACAATCACTACCATCACTCTACCATCACCCTACCATCACCCTATCACCACCCTGCCATCTTCCACAATGCACTAGAGGTTTACTTTGCATTCAGAGGTTTTCTCTTGCATCCAGAAGTTTATTCTTGCATCCAGGGGTTTACTCTTGCAACCAGAGGTTTACTCTTGTATCCAGGGGTTTACTCTTACAACCAGAGGTTTACTCTTGCATCCAGAGGTTTACTCCTACATCCAGAGGTTTACTCTTGCAACCAGAGGTTTACTCTTGCATCCAGGGGTTTACTCTTGCTGCCAGAGGTTTACTCTTGCATCCTGAGGTTTACTCTTGCATCCAGAGGTTTACTCTTGCATCCAGAGGTTTACTCTTGCATCCAGAGGTTTACTCTTGCATCCAGAGGTTTACTCTTGCATCCAGAGGTTTACTCTTGCATCTTGCTCTTTCATTGCAGTGTGATCCATATGATTTTGTTGATTCAGTCAGCCCTCTTAAAAACTCTTCTATATACTGGGATTATTTTGTAAATTAGATTAAGAAAGTACGTACATCCAAAATTAAATAGTGAATGGAAATGCCTTCATATTACTTGGTATTTAAATTTTTTATGTACTTTTACTTTATCAAAATACAGTAGGACCCCACTTATACAGCAGGTTAGGTTCCAGGCTGCTGCTGGAAAGCAGACTTCGGTGGGGAGCAGAATGCCATTTTTTTTTCCACTTATAAATGCCAGATAAGTTTGTGCAAACATATATTAAGTTAGCAATAGAACTAGGCATTAAAAAACAAAAAAGGTAAAATGCACACACACAGTACACTCATTATTTACCTCAAAATATTTGTAGTCTTAATGTAAGGCAAAAGGTGAGTAGCATTTACTGTAAGAAGTCAGGTGTGGTAGCCCTCCTGGCCACCCCACCCATACCTAATATACTATGATGCTTAAAATGCCCTAGAGTGGTAAAATGCATTTACAGGACACTCATTACTTACCTTAAAATATTTGTAGTCTTAATGGGTGAGAGGTGAAAAGTATTTATTTGTAGAAAGTCATGTGGGAGGTATGGCATCTTGCCTGGCCAACCCCACCTACTGCGACATTTAAAGCTCCCTAGAGCGATAAAATGCATATACAATACACTCGTTACTTACTCTAAAATATTTGTAGTCTTAATGTAGGGTGAGAGGTGAGTAAGCGAGATAAAAACGAATAGATGAGAGAGAGAGAACGAATAAGATGACAGAGCCGCAGATTACTTACGTTAACAAACTGTCTGGTTATGGTTGATACACGTTCATACTAAAACCTTACATAAATAACAAAAAAGGGCACAATACCGTGACTGGAACAATACACAAATAACCCGCACATAGAAGAGAGGAGCTTACGACGAATTGTATCCACAGTAGTACAGTAGAATAAATAAAGACCAACACTTCCATTCTCATGTAATTTTTAGAAGGAATGATAGTCTGACAAATTATTATTATTACAGGTTGGCCATCACTAATCCAGCAATCAGTTATCTGGCTCCATCAGTAATCTGGCACTAATTTCGGCTAGCATAGTTTCAAATTTCATCATTATAGTGACTCAGAAGTTGTGCAGATGGTTGTAAATCCACAGCAACAAGCCAGTGGAGGAGAAAGCAGTGATGAAAATGAGGAAGACGTAGCAGAAAGTCTTTCTATTGATAGGTTAAGTGTATTCTAACCTAACCACTCTGTAATCCAGCAAACTCACTAATCTGGCACACTGCAGGTCACAATGATGCCGGATTACTGATGGCCAACCTGTATTACAAATTATTATTATTATAAATTATTATTACAAATTATTATCATCATCATAAAGAAGCACTAAACCCACAAGGGTTATGAATAGCTGTAGATAGAGTGAAGGCATATGAAAGGAATAAATTTCTGGTTGAGTTACTAGTGTTTGACTAGAGAAAACGTAATTCTTCCGACCCTCCCACCAACCTCTTAGTAAGGAAATCTCATATTTATGTCAATTTTTATACTGTGGGTGTATGTATCATGTTTATATGTTATGTAATGTGTTTACTATATAATTTTGAAAAAAATTATCATATACGGATTAATGGGAATGTCTATGTTAATGTAATATATGACATTTAGTGCACCCAAGAGATTATATGCCATCAAGAGTAGAGAAACTCTTAGTGATTCTAATGTGTACCTGCATGCCAGCACAATGTGTAAGTATATTTTTGGTACAGGTACACATAAGTATATTTATCGGAGTATATATAAAATACACAAAACTTTAAGACACTTAAAATTTTGGAAAATTCCCAGACATAATAGAGATGTACTCACGGGGAATGTAAACAAACCGGGTGGGGTGCACCATATTTGAAAGACTGCTTGCTATATAGCAAATTTTGGTCATAATTTGAAATTGCCATATTAGCAGAACGCCGTAAGGCGAAATGCCATAAAGCAGGGTCCTACTGTAGTAACTTTGTAGAAGAGGTTTGTTAGAAAGGTGAGTGCATAATAATTTTGGGTCATGCAGCACGTTGTTTCTCCTCAGAGAGACTACCTTGATGACTGCTAGTAGTCTTGTTACTGCAGATAGTCTTGATGACTCCGACTGGCTTTGACGACTGCGACTGGTCTTCATGACTGTGACTAGTTTTCACGACTGCGACTAGTCTTCACGGCTGCAACTGGTCTGATGACTGCGACTAGTCTTGATGACTGCGACTGGTCTGACGACTGCGACTGGTCTTGACGACTGTAAATAGTCATGACGACTGCAGCTAGTCTTAATGGTTCCAGCTAGTCTTTACGACTGCAGCTAGTCTCGATGACAACGGCTCGTCTTGATAACTCTGGCTTGTCTTGATGACTGGCTAGTCTTGACGACTCTGGCTAGTCTTGATGACTAGCTAGTCTTGACGACTCTGGCTAGTCTTGATGACTCTGGCTAGTCTTGATGACTCTGGCTAGTCTTGATGACTCAGGCTAGTCTTGATGTCTCAGGCTAGTTTTGATGACTCTGGCTAGT